CTCCCTCACATTTCCTCTTGCTCTCTTGAATAGCTATAGAATAGAAATGAAGATTTTAAAAAAGTATTTAATGTTGCAATTATTGGATTGAATTTAACGGTTATGTCTGACCCTAAGAATCACAAAGTATCACCAAGTATTAGTTGTTATTCCATAAACCAAAACCAAAACCAAACCCAGAGCCAGCAAGTCAATTCTGCCTCTCAGAGACCCTCTAGGACAGAGCAGAACTGCCCGCTAGGGTTTCCAAGGCTGTGGATCTTTACAGAAGAAAACTGCCATCTCTCTCTCCCATAGAGTGGCTGGTGGGTTCAAACAAGCAACCTTTCAGTTAGCAGCTGAGCACCTAACCACTGTGCTATTAGGGCTCCTTGTCTATTTATATGGCCCTCTAATATTGACTCTTTGGTTGGAACACCCTTGATACTCCAAATATTCTAATCTCTATTTCATATTTTAGAAGCTTTGAGAGCAAAGACCCTATTTCCAAACCCATGGTCAGTGTCTCTGTGAGCCTATCTTGCTGGTGGTGCTGGTAATCACAACAACAATACATATGTCCTTCCAAGACCTATGGGTAGAAAACTTGGCTTCTGTCAACATGGAGGATGCAGGGACTAAAAAGGAAGGTCTAACAAACATGACTGATCATCACACTGTTTGCCCCAAACCAGTTGGTTGACCTAGTGGAATACATTGTCCCTGGCTTTTAGCAAAGACTTTTAGGCTCATACCAAGAGGGGATGGAGAAGCACTGGCTACAGCCCAGGGACCTTAGCTCAAACCCTGCCTCTACCCCTGGGCCACCCCACCTTGGACAAGTTATTCAACCCCTCTGGCCTCAGCTTTTTATGTGCACCTAATTAGATTGGATGGTGTGGCGCTGTGGGTTAATGTGCCAGACTGCAAAGCCGTTTGAACTGTAAGGTCGGCGGTTCAAGGTCACCAGCCACTCCTTGGAATCCCTATACAGGGTCACTAAGGGTCGGAACTGACTCAAAGGTGCTTAACAATAATGATTAGATTGTGAGTGAGAGGGTAGATGTGTTGTACAGACAAACAAAACAGTTGCCATCCCCTGGATTCCAACTCGTGGCCAGCTGTCCCAGAGTACAATACTCTGTTGGTTTTTCTTGGCTGTGATTTTTACAGAAGTGGAGCACGGGGTCCTCTCTCAGTGGAGCCATGGGGGGGGGGGGTCACATTGTCAACTTTTAGGGTAATAGTTGAGCACAAACCATCTGCATCACACAGAGACTTGGGCTTAATAAATGCAGTTATGTTATATTGGCTAATGTTTATTGAGTGCTTTCAATGTGCTAGGCATGATACTAACCCCTTAACATGAAGAAACTGAGGCTTAGAACAGTTGAGTAATTCTCCCAAGATCTCAGAGCTAGCAAGAGGAGGGCCTGCCATTGAACTAGTACCTAACCCATCACCTATTAGTTAGTGCCTGAAGAGTTAAGATGCCATACCTGTTTTAGAGGCTCAAATTCCCAAGTCAGTCTTGACAATGGCATGCTAACATTCTGACCCATACATTCCACCAACCATTCCCAGATCATTTGCATAAATGTGCAGAATGTCTAATCCAGCCCGTCCTTCCTAAGGTCACCAGGCCTGCTTCCTTCTTGGGCTCTAGGGTAGATAAGAGGGAGAGAAACAAAGCAAAAGCAATGGGTTGGAAAATAATGTACTTAAGTAATCCCATCATTTCCAAAGTGCAAATAAATTGAACTAGCTAGTGAATGTTGTACTAATGAATGTTGTTGTTAAGTACTGTGGAGTCGGTTCCGACTCATAGTGACCCTGCACAGGTTTCCGAGGCTGTAAATCTTTACAGGAGCAGAACGCCTCATCTTTCTCCCACAGAGCCACTGGTAGTTTCGAGTTGCCAACCTTGAGGTTAGCAGCCCGATTCATAACCACTATGCTACCAGAGCTCCTTGAACATACACATTATTATTGCACCATCTGGTGGACTATATGGTCATTGCAATGAATTTGTAGCACAGACAGGTCTGGGTCTCTGAACTGTGACTTTTCTGCTGTGCCTGGGAACTTGGGCAGGCAAAGTCTAGGAATCTGTTGGGCACAGTTTTGATGGCTCTTTTATAACTGTCAGGTTGTAGTTTGGGTTTTAGTGTGATAAATGGCTTACCGAATAGATTATAAAACTTGGTATCCCCAAGTCTCTTGGAAAACGTTAAACTTATCTCCCCTGTTGAGCCCAGAAAGGGACTTTTCTTTTGTCCCTTCATCGCCTTGGGTTTTGTAGGTGATGAAGGAAGCATTTTTCTTCCATAAAAGTGGCCCAGAGCTCAGGACCATCATCTCAGGGACTACCCTGGTCAATTGGTATCACATAGTCCACAAAGACAGTGTTCTGCATCCTACTTTGGCAAGTAGCTACTGGGATCTTAAAAGCTCCTAAGTGGCCATCTAAGGTACAACTCTTGGTCTCTCCTTCTGTGGAAAAAGAAGAGTGGTGACCAGTGAAAATGTTTGGAGTCAACTAGTCCAGTCCACCAATGGAATACGTGAACCTCAATCTCCACAACTGTGAGACTAGAAGAACTAGATGGTGCTCTGAAAGGGATCACAGAAGAAGGTCCCAGATAGAGAGGGAGAAAGTGTTGAGCAAAACTCAAAGTTATAAAAAGACCGGACTTACTGGTTAAAACAGACTGGAGGAACTAGAGACTATAATCCTTGACCACCCCTCAGGTCTGTAAAGGAGCTCACTCTCATGGCCCAAGTGTCAGCCAAGAGGTAGATTGGTATTAGGGGAGACAGCAACACTAGTAAAGTATGATCACCATGAAGGAGAAGGAATGGAAACAAGAATCACAGGGAGGAAGTAGGGTAACTGATGCTACGCTGATAGGAATGTAGTCATTGAGATGAAACAAAGTGTATGATTTGTTGAATGTAAAATGTAAATGTTTTTATTGAATGAAAAATGTAAAAAATAAAATGTAATTTTATTTCACAATAATTTTTTTTTTTTAATGGCCATCAGACACCATGGTTAACTGCCATAACATAGTCCTTAAAGAGAGTGTTCTACAGCCTACTTTGGTGAATAGAAACTAGAATCTTAAAAACTTGTGAGTTACCTTCTAAGGTGCATCTCTTGTTCTCTCCATGTGTGGAGGAAAACAGATTAATGAACATTGAAGACAATTAGAAACAATTAGTCCATGAACAAATGGAGCACGTGGACATCTGTCTCCACATCTGTGAGGCCAGAAGAACTAGATGGTGCCTGGCTATCCCTACTAACTGCTCTGGAAGGGATCACATTTGAAGGTGCTGGATGGGGAGGGAGAAAATGTGGAACAAAACTAAAAATCATTAAAAAAGATCAGGCTTATTGGTCATATAGAGACTGGCGGAACCCTGAAATGATGGCCCTTGGTCACCCTTCAGAGCTGGAACTCAACTTATCCCTGTGACTCAATCTTCAGCCAGACAGTAGATAGGTCTTTTTGGAGACCACAATACTAATGAGGTACATATACCATAGAATGGTCAACCATTCAGGATCAAAAGGGCAACCTTTACCCAAGGACAGAGTTCAGAAGGGCTGGGAAAGGAAGAAGAATGGGAACAAACACAGGGAAATTGTAGGGTATGTGATGTTATCATTGAAGGGATTGTAATCAGTGAGATGAAACGAAGGGTATGATTTGTTGAATGTAAAACTAATGATCCACTCTGTAAACCTTTACTCAATTCATATTAGAAATTTGGTTTAAAAATGACCCCCAGATACCTTCTGCAGACATGCGCATACATACATAAATTATATCATTTGAGTCCATAAAAATTAAATATTGTTTATTCCCTTTTAAAAACATGAATCCCATGATTTATAGTGAGGAGCATACAAATATGAAAAAGACAAGGGAATAGAAAGTTACTTAACAGGGGACTGTAATAATACCACACCAATAACCAGGGTGTCAGCTCTTTACAGGCCATAACTGGGTCTTAAGTCCTGCAAATTCAGTCATAAACATGGAGCTAAGGGTCATGTCTCAAAGAGTCTGCAGAGAGTCAATGAGTCAGTTACCAGAGATTGGGAAGATGCATGTAGCCCAGGGTGGAAGGATTGCCCAGGGTGTGGCCCCCTGAATGTATGGGGGATTTGCCTAGAATGGTTTGTTTCCTTCATTTTTAATAACTTCACTTGCCAGTTAGCCATCAGCATTAACATCTGGCCTCTCTGGTAACTGTTCATTATCTGTTAATAATTTAGCTAACACTTAGGTAGTTCCGTGAGAACCTCGGCTGTTGTCAAGCTGCCTCATCAGAATTGCTGGTGAATAGAGGCCGGATCAGTGATTGTTGTGTATACTGCCCTCTGAGTGAAGGAAGCCCCCATCGGCCGAAAGCCATTTGTCACATGTGTTAACACCACTCTCCTCCAAGTATGGCCTGACCCTGCGTGATCTAAGTGGTCACATAGCAGGTTGATGTGGCTTCGATGTTCTTTTCCTTTAACGTAGGGGCAAAATTGGAATCTGTTGTAATCATTGTAGGGTTTGCAGACTGGGCATGTTTGCCTCACTTGTCTGTGATAACACTTATATTGTGTTATAATCTTCTATTTACACTGCTCAAACTCTCCCAGTTGGAAGTCTCCAGGGAGAAGGACTTCTGTTTTTGCATCCCTTAGAGCAGTTTAGCACACACAGTTGGCTCGTAAAAAATATCAGTTGGGAGACTGGTTGGGTAGATAAGTGCCCTCTGAGCGCCAGCTCCCTCCGATTCCACTGTGTTGCTTCCTAGCAGGCCTAGCCAGCTCACAGTGCGATAGGCCTTGACAAGTGTTAGGTACTGATTTGCAGCTTTTAAGGCTCCACATGAGAAGAGTGAGCTCATTAAACATGATTTCTCTGTGTACAACAGGTCTATTCTAAAAGCTCAAGGTCTTCTTCCTGGTGATGATACCTCTCGAGTTGACTCCTTTCCCATTTTCATTTCCACAGCGGTCCCAGTCTGCCTGCTTGCTCACTGGAGAAGATACCCTGAAGACCTTTTCCCAGGAGACATCCTGGAGGCAGCTGTGGGACCAAGGCCAGCGTCCTGGGGAGGAACCTGTTTTGCCCAGCTGGAGGAGCATGGACAGGCTGGACAAGACAAGTAACTGTTGTAAGCAGCACCTAATAGTCTGAGGGTCTCACAGTGCTGTCAAGTGGCTTCTCAGTTGTAATATGGCCAGTCAGCTCTTCCTCCCATATGTTTGAATTGGTGTGTGTCTCCGTGGGGCTTCTAGCATAACGCAGCGTATAATGTGGCCTTGTCCTCTACCTGGACAGTTTCCTCATTGCTGTAGAGGAATATGGGCTCTTGGTGGTCCCTCAGTATGCCCCATGCTGAACTGGGAGCCCTGGACGTGTGAGGAACTCTGAGCAGGGGTGTTGAAATCACTCATTTCCACTCATCTACCACACCAGCTGCCTGTTCAGGATGCACTGAGAGCTTGTGTCCTGATAGTCCAGGAACCCCATGACTGCAGAAGTGCAACTGGTCACCCCATCCCCAGCAAGGCCTGTCCTTTCCTCACCCAGATGCTGCCTAATGGAAGCTAGGAACATGTGTCCTCACATAAAGAATTCATTAATAGTATTCTCAGTCCATGTGATATGCCATATCAAAACTCCAACAACAACTACCAAAAATTACCATGAAAACATCCATGCTTAGAAATCGCTATCATTTCCATTCTATAAGAGAAAAGATGCACCCAACCACTGTATACATAGGACCTGTCACTATCAGAGTACAAAGAATCAGAAAACATCAGGCTTTTTTTAAGCAGCCCTTCTAAAGATTTCCCAAAATGGATTGTTTCCATTTTAACCGTCAGGTGTCTGTCAGTAGAAAGCTCAGAGTCTATGATGATGTAGAGGTTCTGCAAGCAGGTGACATTTATTTATGCCTGTGGTTTTGGCTTTTAAAGTGCATTTTGCCTTTCTAAATGGATCTTTATTTCCCCAGGTGTACATACATTTGATGCTTAATGAAGGTCTATAAAGTGAAAGATGTTTGGGGGATATCCTTCAACTGCCCTATGCGCTGTCCAGACTGCTAGTGAAGTTGTTGAGTTTACCTGACCCACAGTGTCCCAAACAAAGGCTCACTGCTCTGCACTCATGGGCCCTAAAGCAACCTTTCTCCTGAGACGTAAACAGTGGACAGCAACTTTCTAAGATGACCTTCTAGACTTGCCTTTCCCCTTGTCGCCCAGCATACTCATATCCATTCATTTTTATTTTCCCCTCTCTTGCTTTTTCTGTCTCCATGAATTGCAAATTCCCACAGAATGGGGACTCTTAGATTTCACAAGGCATATGAGAATATTATATAATAGATCTTCAGTAAACAATAATAGCTAGCTTTTAAAAATCACCTTACATGTACCTGTACCATGACATGCATTCCTCCAACAGGAGTGATAAATATGTCATTATCTTGTGTGGCAGATAAGAACAAGGGCAGTGAGTTTCAATGTCCACGATCCCACAGCCAACGTGAGCAGAGCTGGTCCTTAACCCAAATATCATGACGTTATGACTCCAACTTGCATGCTTTTCCCATTACTGCATGAAAGAAAAGTGTTTCCTGCCATAAAACAAAATTAAACAGAAAAACAATACATCAAAATTCAGTCTTACAAAACTGATCAGTTTGGAGGATATTATCAAATTTCTAAAATATATTCCTTCTCACAAAATATTTCCCTACTGGGGTATAAGGATTCCATATAAATTTGAAAAGGATTTTGGTTTTCAGAACTTGATTTTGTGTAAGAGTGAAAATAAAATTAAGCACACCTGTGTAACTTATCATTTGCATGTAAACATGAAATGGTAAATAGCATCACAAAAATGACTTCGTGCTCTGTTCAAACCTCATGCATTGCTCAGGATGCAGATTGAAATAAGAAAGAAAAAGCACTTGGGTAGAAAATTGATGGTTTTCTAAGGAATGCCCATGTCTGGACATAAGAAAGTGTCCAAGCCAACTAGAGGTCCTAGGCCCTAGGAGATGTCTGGTATGTTTCCAAAACCAACAAGACATTCTGCCTCATGGTTCAGTTCTACCCTGCAACATGTGGGGTTGACATGTATATATGTGTGTCTGATAAATTTTGTTGTTGTTGTTAGGTGCCATCGAGTCAGTACCGACTCATAGCGACCTTATGCACAACAGAACGAAACACTGCCCGATCCTGGGCCAACCTCATTACTGTTGCCACTCTTGAGTCCATCGATGCTGCCACTTGTCCAATCCATCTCCTTGGGGGTCTCTTTTTCTCTGACCCTCCACCTTACCAAACACGATATCCTTCTCCAGCCACTGCTCCCTCCTGACAATATATCCGAAGTATGAGAGACGAAGTTTGGACATCTTGGCCTCCAAGGAACACTCTGGCTGCACTTCTTCCAAAATGGATGTATTGGTTCTTTTGGCAGCCCATGATACTTTGAATATTCTCCTCCAACACCGTAATTCAAAAGCATCAATTCTTCCATGGTCTTCCTTATTCAGTGTCCAGCTTTCGCATGCTGATATGTTTTTAGCAGAAAATAAATTCTTCCCAGGGGCATTTCTCAATTGTAGTAGAACAGAAACAGAGAACAGAGGAGACGCCAGAGGTGGAGGTCATCTTTGAAGGTCGCTGTCCACTGTTCATATCTCTGGAGAAAGGTTGGGTCAGGGCCTGTGAGTGTAGAGGAGTGAGCCTTTGTTTGCAACACTGAGGGTCAGGTGATCTCAGCAACTCCATTTTCAGTCTTGATAGTACTTAGTTTGATGGATTTTCCCCAAAATACCTTTTACTTCATAAACCTTGACTGAGCACCAGCAGTGTGCACAATTAGGGAAATAAAGATGCCATATAGAGCCAGTCCCTGTTCTTAGTTGCTCCCCAAAAGCTGCCAATGTACAAGGGAGGAAATGGTGCCCTCCACCCCCGGGGCCCTTAGTACTTGCCCCAAGGTAGCCCTGCAGTATTTCTGATTAAATTTTTTTTTTTAATTAAGCAAAATGACAATTTTTGCCAGCAACTGTTGTGCCTGGAACCAGAGGCTGGGCCAGGTACCCATAGTTAAAGGAGCCACTATGTTATCTTACTTCTCACTCCCAGACACATAGGCACAAACACTTTCTTGCCTTCAGCAAAAATAAGGCAAAGCAACTGTTACACTCACCGGCAGATTAGCCCTTGGGACCAAGGCATCAGTCATCTCAGATTCTCTGGGAAGACCTGTGCCCAGCTAAGGCCAATCCAGAACCAGGACCACAGACTGAGAACTCCAGCCCACCCTGGTGCCATGTTATGTGGCACAGTCTATGACCAAGAGCAGCCTTGGGGTCCGAGTGAGGTGGTGCCCCATCTCAAGTCTACCAATTATAGACTCAGCGACCTTCGATAAGTTAGTTAACCTTCGTCTCCGTCATCTTTGTCCCCTCATCTGTAAAATAAGATTGGAAATGCCAACCTCCTTCTGTCTCAAATCTTTTCTAAGAGGAGGCATCTGCCTTGAGTTAAAAATAAACTTAAAGGCTTATCTCATGAGGCTATTGTGAGATCTGTATAATGGCCGAGGGCAAAATTTGCTAACTCTCTTCCCTGCAGACGGTGGCCCTGTGAGGTGGACCAAGGCATGTGGTAAAGACCAAAGTAAGCCAACTGACAGACAGCCCAAGGGACGAAACAGTGACTCTAGGGCAAAGAACTGGAGCCTCAGTTCACCAACTCTCCAGACCTGTCTTCTCCACTTCTCCATCCATGCTGGCCCAAGGTGGCAGTGGGGTGGTTCTGAGAAGGCTGAGGTGGCCATCTGCTCAGGTGGACATGACATAGGGGTTGGGTGTGCAACTTCCTCTCCATCTCTGAAGGTCTAGGCTCCTATGACGCTTTAAGGAACTTCTTGGAACCTCTTAAACTCTGGCATCCAATTAGACTTGTCTTCCTAATTGGAGGACATATAGGTATATATGTCTTCATATAGGCAGCTCTCCAATACTCCACATACCAGTCACAGGAAAGGTGACAAGTGGAAAGCCCACCTTGCTGTACAAAAAACAAATGCACTGCCACCAAGTGGATTTGAACTCATAATGCCCCTGTGGGACAGAACAGAACTGCTCCATAAGATTGCAAGGCACTAAACCAACCCCTGTCTGGTTTCTCCCACCACAGGTCTGGCTCCAGTTTTGCAGAGTCCCGATGGGAACTGGATAGCCCTGAAGAATGGTACCTTGTCCCCCAATCGCTTGCTGACCAAACCTAACAGTGGAACGTTTGAGGCCCTGGAGGCTGCATCCAGCATGGTGTCCGCCTATGAAGAGATGGGCTCCGACAGTGAAGAGGACTTTGATTGGAGTGAGGCCTTGAGTAAGCTGTGCCCAAGACCCCAGGGCCTGCTTGGAAATCCCCAGCCTCAGTCCACACAGGCTCGAGGTCCCGACCAATGTCCCTCAGCTGCCTCCCCCTCCTCTGTGCTCTCCCCAAACCCTGAGGCCATGTGCTCAGACTCGGAGACCTCCTCAGCTAGCTCTTCCCGGGAAGCTGGACGTCGGGCCAGAATGTCCTGGCTGCAGAGGAAGCCTCCCAGGAACCCCGCAGCAGAAAAGATGCGCTTACAGGGAGAACTGGATGTGAACTTCAACCCCCAGATGGCCAGTGGAGAGACTTCAGACAGCAGTGAACCTGAGGAGGCCCCCCATGCCACAGACTGGCGAGCCCGGAGGTGGAGAAGAGCCCGGGTGGGTTTGGAAGAGTCCAACAAGGAACAGTCTTCCCCCACAGCCCATCGCCGGGATCTGGATTCACATCAGGTAATAGAATTGCAAGCATTTCGTTTCTTCATCCCCTCTCAACACAATACTGTTTCAGTAGGATGGGGCCTCCTCCAAGCACGAGTGGCTTAGGAGTCCCAGGTTTGGAAGCCACAGACCCAGGGTCTAGTCTTAGTTAAGTCACTAAGTTGCTGAATGACCCTGGGCAGGTTACTAGACTCTCTGAGCCTCCACAGCCTCCTCTCTGGACCATCTACTTAGAATCTAAAGTGTGATTGTCCGGGTGTGACCAGCAGCATGGAAATTTGTTGGAAATGCAAATGTCCTCAGGCTCCATCCAAGACCTGCTGAATTTGAAACTCTGGAGCTGGAACCCAGCCATCCGGGGTTGAGCCTGCCTTCCTGTGTGCTGCAGTTTGAGAGCCATTGACTTAGGGCTGAGGGTGTAACGTCTAGAGTCAGACTGCCTGGGTTCAAATCCAGCTGTGCAACCTTGGCCAACATAGCTCTCAAAGTTTCCATTTCCTTGCAAACAGAAAGTGTTGACAGTTGGCTGAGATGATGTCTATGAAGGTTTGCGCTCTGCCCTGGGTGCAGCCTGAGGGCTCAGTGTTGCTTCAGTATCATCATGCAGGGTCTTCAGTGGCTCTGCCCACCTGTTAGGTGTCATGTGCTCCTTGTGAGAAGATGACCAAAGCTATGGGCTCTCTAATAAAATGCACCTGTAAACACACACACACTCCACTCACAGTTTCATTATAATTGCAAGTCATTTACAGACCCCCAAGGAGATGAATTTTGTACTCTTTTGGCACATCCTAAGGAGCACTGGGAGTGTTGTGGGTTATAAATTGGGCTCCTAACTGCAAGGTTGGCAGTTCACTCCATGGGAAAAAGATAAAGCTTTCTGGCTTCTGTAAAGATTTACAGTCTTGGAAACCCCAATAGGTGCACTCTGAGTTGGAATTGACTCTATGGCACAGAACCACCACATCAGGTATATGCTAAGGAGCCCTGGTGGTGCTTTGGAATAAGCATTGAGCTGCTAACTGCAAAGTTAACAGTTCAAACCCACCAGTTGCTCCTCTGGAGAAAGATGAGGTTGTCTGCTCCCATAAAGATTCTCAGTCTCGGAAACCCTACGTAGCCTTGCTGTGAGCCGAACTGACTCAGTGGCAGTGAGTTGTTGGTTTGGGGTCAGTACACCGGGCTCATTCCTAGCTCCCCTTTGATAATGCTGTTCCCTTGCCCTCTCATCTTCTGGTGAAACCCTGTGCATCTCTGTGGACCAGATACGTAACTCTGTGTGTTCCACTCTGGCCTCTCCATAACAATATTTTTTCACTTCAAAAAAGATACCTGCATTCTGGAACATCTAAATGACCTCATGGAAGCCAGAGATGCAATATTAGAAACTGAGAATCATAAGGAAAATTGAGTTTTGTTGCCACTACCTTCTTTAGACACAATCTTTTCTCTAGTTTCCATCAAGTTGACATTTTAAGTGTGCCCGTCATTGTAACTCTCATAGTCCCCAGCTACCATGATCTGCTTTCTTACTTGAACTCCATCAAAAGCAGACCCAGACCCAAGGATTTGAATAGCAGGTAGTTTATGTGGACAAAGCCCTCGTGGCACAATGTTTAAGCACTTGACTGCTAATAGAAAGATCAGGGGTTCAAACCCACAGCGACTCCATGAGAGAAAAAACATGGCGGTTTACTCTTACAAAGTTGACAGTTTAGGAAGTCCTGTGGAACAGCTGTACTCTCTTATCGGGTCTGTGTAAACAGAAATTGATTTGCCGGCATACAACAACAGTTTGGGTGGGGAGGAGGGTAATGGTGGTTCACTGGAGGAACTGTCCCTGCCTTCGATGAAGATAAGGGTTCAGTTCTTGTCCAATATACCTCAGTCACAGCCACCATCTGCCTGTCAGTGGAGACTTGTGTATTAATATGAGGCTGAACAGATTCCAGCAAACTTACAGAGTAGAAAGACCTAGCAGTTTACTTCCAAAAACTAAGCCAGTCAGAAGCCTGTGATCACAACAGTCCCGTCTCATTAGGCATGGATTCAGCATGAACTGGGGCCAACTCAGCCACAGCTAACAGTGGTTTGTGTGTGTGTGTGGGGGGGGGGAGGATTAGTCCCAGGAAGCACCAGGCTAAGACAATGAGGTGAGAAAGGCTGCTCAAGGTTTGCTACAGACAACTGGGTCTTGGTCCCACTGAGGCCCCTCAGACTTCTCCCTCCAGAGCATAGATACCATTGATGGAGGGTTGGCCCTACACAGGATGGGCATTAACTTCATACTCAGCAAGGTTTGTATGTAGAGACCTTGAGAAGTCCCTCAGGCAGAGAAGAAAGAGGCCCGGGTCTGAGCTGGGACACTGTCAGTTGGCTAGAAACTGCCCCTCACTGTTGAGGGGAATCATGTAGGCCCAAGGCATATGGCGTGAGACATCATCCGTGCCTTCTACTATAACCTCTGTGAGTGTATCAGTCAAATCCCTTTGAGGTACTTGTGGATGTAGAGGTTCCCGGGACACAGAATTGGCATCACTCAGGCCTGGCCTGCTAATGTACACAATATTGCTAGAAGCAGTCCTTTATTTGGCCCAAACAGTCCTTTTTCTTATCTGTGAAAGAGCGTTTCTAAAAAGTCTGCTGTGTGGTGGTGTCACCATAGAGTTAAAAAATAAAAAAGTTATGTTCAACTGTGAATCAGTATGACCTAGTTCAAGTGGAGACTGTGGTTTAATTTCTTTGGGTGAGTTGCTTCAAGGAATACTCTAGAGGGCTGTCCACATGGTTCCCTTACAGATATAAAATGTCACTGCTCTGCCATGACTGAGTGTATGAAGCTTCCTATTTCAGCTGAAGTAGCTTGAAAGTTGTCTTCAGATTTTAGTCTTTGTCAGGCATCAGTAAGAAGGGAGAAGGCAGGAACCAACAGAAAGACAATCAACTGAACTTTGCCTTTGCCTCTAGTGTCAGTGTCTCTCCCTTCCACTAGGGGGAGGTAATGTTACACTACAAAAACTTTAAAACCCAGCTGGCTCCAATTTTAAGCTTTATTTTTAATTATATTACAGATTTCAATTCTTTGGTGGTTAAACATTGAAAATATCCTCTGTTATTTCCCCCGTGGCTTCATTTAGGTGCATAGTATTTGCATTAATTTTTTTTTTAATAATAATTTACCACTTGTTTCAATTAATTTATTATTTTGTGCTTTGTTCTTTAAGAAGGCTTTTAAATCTTTGAGATTATAAGAATATTTTCCTATTTTTTCGTAGTGCTTTCGAGTTTATATTGTGCTTTTAACCCTTAGTCCACCTGTAGTTTTCTGGATAATATAAAGCAAAATTTAATACTTTTTCGAATTGGACATTTGTTCACAAATCATTATTTAATAATTCATTCTTTATCTGATAACCTTAAATGCTTTGTTATATATTAATCTTGTATTTAAATGAGTCTTTTTTTTCCCCTCTATTTTATACCATTGATATAGCAGTCTAGGTGTCCTGGTATGGCACTGTGGGTTAATACGCCAGACTGCAAAGCCATTTGAACTGCAAATTCAGCAGTTCAAGCTCACCAGCTGCTCCTCAGAAACCTTGTACCGTTGCTATGGGTCAGAACCGACTCAACAGCACTTCACCACAACATAGCAGTCGAAGTCTTATACAAATACTTTTTAAAACCTTTTGCATTTGAGTGGATTTTGACTTAGCATCCATGGAGTGGCTGGTGGGTTTGAACCACTGTCCTTTCAGTTAAGCTTATCCTACTGCATCACCAACATATTTTGATATTTGATAGATTATCTTTACTGCAATTGTTTTTGATGATGATACTGTTATAGTAAAACCTACAAAAGCTGGAAGCTGTCTCACAGTATTTTCCCGGTAGACAAGCAGTAAGACCTTGAAAAGACAAAGTCACCCATTGAGTTCCTGTTCTCACAGGTCTCCCAGTATTTTCTTGAAGTGTCTTGGTTTTTTCAATTCTATACACATTTAAATGATTTTGAAAATCTCTTCAAATAGGAAAAAAAACAAGTCTTTTGAAGTTTTGTTTGGAATTGCACTGGATATTTGGATGTATAGCTGCATTAATTTGAGAATAACTGATTCCTTATTATCAATGTGGTACTAGTCTCCATTTACTTTCATTAAAGTTTTCTAGTGTGGTGCTGTAGGATAAGCACTAGACTTGAAACCCAAGGTCAGCTGTTCAAACCTACCAGCAGCTCCTCGGAAACCCTATATAGAGTAGCTGTGACTTGAAACCAACTCAGCAATAATAATAATCAACAACAACATTAGTCAAAACTCTTAGCATATTTCTCCTTAGGTTTTTTGTTGTTGTTACCAAGTTAGATGTTCTGAATGCACTATTTGTTACATGTTCTAGTTGGGGTTTGCTGGTGTGCAGAACACTATGTTATGTTTTTTTTTTTTTTTCACCTCCTACCCTTCTGGATTCTTTTCTTAATTCTAATCATCTTTCAGATGATTTTCTTGTCTGTTGCAGGAAGACAATTGTATTGTCTGCAGTAATGACATCTGTCTGTCTCACTCTGTCCTTAGTAGAAATCCCAGTGTTTCACCAGTCAGCGTGATACTTGCTCTAAATTCAGTGGACATGATCAAAATAAAGAAGCATGTATCTATCCCTAGCTTCCTCAAGAATCTTAATAAGGAATGTGGGTCTTATTTTATCCACTGCTTTTCTTTTGTCTGTTAAAATGGTAAATCACATTTGTAAATTTCTTCCATTTGAATAGTCTTGTTGCATAAATTGTTGCATAAATTCTACTTGATGGTTATACCTTTCTAGAGAAACTAGATTCATTTGCTGGTTTTATTTTCAGGACTTGGTACAACTTCTTAGAGCACTTCATATGCCATAATACTTTTCTGAGACGTTGAAAGAATTGATTTACTGCTTTCCGGGCCTTGTACATCTTTATAAGGGCAGATTTTTTATTTTCTTAATCGATTGTTTTCCTTGATTAAACTATTTAG